GCAAGGACCAGGGGATGCTGGTCAAGCATCAGCCAAAGAGCACAGCTCATCTTCCTGTTTATAATGGGAAGCTGAAGGAGTTCTGCTCTTCTCTCACTATCCCTAATTGTAAAGTACTTGCATGCTGTAAACATTTGTAAGCCATTAGCTAGAACCAAGAGCACATGCTGTAACAACAAAAGCTAGTTCTGTTACAGCCATGGGAATTCTTCCCAGTGAAACCACAGAGAGGGAGGTGGGACAGGATCTCAGGGACCAGCTGAGGCACCACCAAGCAGGGGCAGGTTCACAAACATCCAAACCAAGCTGCAGCAAGTGACTGTCAAACCCTTCCTAAAAGGGCACTCCAGGGAAGGCGAATCTGCAACCTCCCACAGTACAGTGCTCAGAGTTAGGAAGCATCCCTCACATCTAACCACTGTTTTTGCTGAAATCAAAAGCACAATTTGTTCTACAAGTGGCACAGAGAGATTACACAACACCAAGTTTGCTCCTCTCAACTATTTACATACTCGAATATTATTTTAAAAACTCTTTGCCAGTCTTTTGTTTCCCTAAAATTATTTCCTTCAGAGTTCTTCCTAACTCACACCTTCCAAATTAAGACTTCTGTTACTGTCCTGTAACAAATGCCTCCTACCACCTATTTTAAAATGCAGGGTCCAAAACAGGAACAGTGGGGCCTAAAGGGAAGTATTGTTAATAGTTACATAAAAGTAATTTTCTTTTGATCTCTTTCAGATGCTGTTAGCTCATTCAATTGTAGCACATTTAGTAAGCCCTATCATGTTTGTCTTCTAGTACCGTTTACTCCCTGCTATGTACTTTTACATTTTGTGATTCTAAACAGTAGAAGTCGATATTTATCTCTCAAATTTTACCTTGCTAATTTTGCCCACTTCCTCTAGTTTATTAAGGTCATTTTGAAAGTGTCCTATATAATGAAGTGCTTAGAGTTGGAATAGAAACCGAATCTCATCTTTCCACCCCCGCCACGTCCAAATTATTTCTACCTAGAGATCACATCAACGTTCAGAGCCATTTGTTTATAAAGACTGCAGATTAAGTCAAACACACCTGATTTATGGAAAATTCCTATTGGTTGAATGGGCTTCTAAATAAACTAAAATCTAGTGAAAGAAGAAAAAAAAAAAACAATCATCAAAACCTACAAGAAAAAGCAGACAGACACCTATTTCCATTTTGTTTTCAATAAAAACCCAAGGCATCTGGAGTACTGAAGTAACCTCATCTGACTAAAGCACAACACTGAACAATAGCAGAATCCATGGTAACACTACATACTGCTCATAATACGCTAGCAGGTGGAAAGAGAAACCACCTAACAAGAAAAGAGACACCTTGACCTGACATTGCAGAAATAACTGATCTATACCCTGCATTAGTTTCCTATAGGCCTCATTTCTTCTAAAAGCTTTGTATGTCCCTGTATTTTTGTGCATATTGAAGTGTTGGAGAGATGAAAAAGCAATGTGCCCTAAACATGTGTCAAGAGATGCACAGTATCACCAACAAAGAGAGGCCAAGAAGGCATACCTCATGCACTTTATCACATAAAGCCCTGACACCCAAGGCAGAATTTCTTCCTTTGCCTGTCATTTCTACACAGTTACTAAGTTGTTCTAGGTGTCCTATTTGCAGCTCTGACCAAGATGAGCTTTTTAAGTTTCTTCATATTTAGGTATGCTTATAGGGTTTGTCACTGTTTTTCTAGATTTCTAGTGAAAGAATCAGGAACACCCAAACTGTGCCCATCCTCTCCCTCCACTCCTAAATCCTGAAGTAATACATATCCATAGCAAATCAAGAAGGAAAAATATAATACCTGAGGACTCAACTTAGTCAACAGCCTGGTGATTAAGGCCCCCACTTCAGAAGCTAGAAAAACCCGAGCCTGATTTTGTAATGCAAGATGATCTTCTAGCTGCTTTGGCTTTCACATGCTTCACCTAAGTATCCGCAACAGCCATTGTCAGAGACATCAGCAAGTTTAAGCCTTTAGCTTGACCTAGAATTGGTTTTGTTTTGTTCTTAAATATAAAAAATAAAATAAAATCTTCTAAACCAGAAACTGTTTCAAAAGAATGCCAAGGACCTTGCTAAGTTACATGCAAAATCTGTCCCAGTTGAAATGGTATGAGAATGCTTACTGCGCCGATCTTCTCAGGAACAAAAATTGATGAAAGAGTACCTAGTTTGCAGACGCAAAGCCTGAAACACAAATGGAAATCAAGCTGTTCAACACCCTGAATGCTCAGTTCTAGCGAAGTTTCACCTTAATAATTAAACATATCAAGTACCTACAGATGCTGCTATGTGGTTCTAGAACTGCAGAGTAACAGAGCAGCACACCTGAGGTCCTGCATTTTGAAACCAGGGAGTTGCGCCCCACTTGTATGCAACTTCTTTCATGGCCTCAGCCTTCAAATAGTAAAGATAACGATTGCACAGCTGCTGAGCACAGCAGAAATCAGTGGCGAGGGGAAAGGCAAAACCAAACCACAAGAATCATTTTAACACCTCGGTTATTTTCATATTTTAAGAAGAAACATTTTTTTTTTAATAATGCAAACCTCAAAGTTCACTGAGTTACATACATTCATTTGCATGATTTATACAATTATTGCATAAGACTTGTGGTCATTTACATCTTCCAGTTCAAGTGACACCAGGTACCACGATTCTGTGTTAAATTCTAGTTATACTTTCAGTCAATTAAACAAACATGAAACCAGAACAAGACTAAGACTACTCCATTCAGAAAGCCTTCTTCACATTTGTCCAGATGGAAAGGCTGCATAATGGAGACATTTGTGATGTTTAAGATAATCCCAAACCAATTTGTGTTGCTTTAGTAGACTGTAGTGGAATGTAATGGCAAAAAAAACCCAAAAAAAACAAACAAACAAAAAAAACCCCAAATGAACAAAAAACAAAACAGAACCAAGAAAAACACAAAAACCCAAACACCCTTAATAAACAAAAACCATTAAGCTTGCAGGCTGACAAGAACTGGCCACTTTCTTTTTGTCAAGGCAAAGCCACTTCTTCATGTATTTAGAAAAGTAGACAAAAATAATATTTCTTAGTGGAAAGGTAAAATAGGCTATTTAACCTCTGTTAATAAGTGCCAATGAATTGATGGCAGTGATGACACCATGCTAGGAGCAGAAACTATCCTGATGTAAAGCCATACTGAACAAAAATTCAAATCCAGCAAAAAAAAAATGTGTGTTGATGCTTCTATCTACTTATGACAATGTACGTTCTAAGTGCATGGCTGAAAATAAGCGTGGTAATGCCAGAGAAACCAGTGCAAGTGAGTTACTGGGTGGATTATTCTGGAACAAAGACAAGAGAACAAACACGGACAAGAGGATGGCTTAAGAGCAAGCTTACAAGAGCAAAGAAAGATTGCAGGAGTAGCACAGAGCTCCGTTCAGATTTGTGCTACACATACGCAAGCTGCAACACCTTTTGTTCCACAGCACAAAGCGAAGAGAAGCTGAAGATAAAGGAGACAAGAATCTACGCAACTTCTGAACAGAAAAACAACAACGCAGAACTATGCTTTTGAGCTCAATGCACCAGCATCTCATGTATTTTTCTGTCCCTTATGCAGGAGAGAAAGACAAGATGAAGGATAAAGTCAGAGGAGGAAAAAGTGTCTGTGCTTTTGTCAATGCAGAGATCATCACAAGAATGTCTATTTTGGTGACCAGCATCTCAACGACAAAGCAGCACCCCAAAGGGTAGTTTAATTTCTACACACAGAAATAGTAGTTGGGATTGATTTACTACTTATGTGACCAAGATTCAAGCACACACACCTTTTTTAGAGGAATACTAAGGGATAATGAGAAGCACATGGCCATGGCTTACTGTTCATTCTCCACTTTAGATTTGTTGACAAAGTTATTTACCCACAAAGCATTACCCAGGTGAAAGTTAGTAGAATATAGCATCTGGTTCATTAAGCCAGAAAAGAATGTGATCTTGCAATACTGGTTGAGCACTTCCAATTCCCACAGACATATATGAAAATTTGAACTGCTAAGCACTTTGATTATCCCATTCAACCTTTTTTTCTCTCCCCCTTCTTCCCCTCCCAACCCTGAAGCAAGAGACTCACAGTGATCACAGTGCTACATTCTGGCCAAAGTTCATTCCCCTCAGCTTTTTCCAAAGAATATGATACAGTGTAGAACAGGACTTGGGCGAAAGTAGGAGGAAGAGGTTTGCTAAAAAGCAACATGAGAATATTGACTCTATAGGAGAGCTCAATTTTACCACATTGAAAACCACATGTGCAACTGCTCCATTCGAAGTTCTAACTGCTCTCAAAGTTACCAGCATGATGCAACCCTCGATCAAAAACAAAGAAAAAGAGATTGTGTTCTGACATGATGAATAGATTTTCAGGATGTGGCAAGATATGCTGGTGTCTCATTTCAATAAAAATAGTGTTTCAAATCTCACTGCAAAATCATTACGGATTTTGTTCTAGTCCTGCCTAATCCATTCCTAAACTGCATGGCACAGCCCTTGCCATGCTCGCCTACCAGAAAAGGCAGTTCCATTTTCTTGCGCTGAAAGAAGTAGCAGGCTCAGTGGTTACAAAGTTCATGTTTTAAAGTGCATGGTCATTTTAAACACACTTTCCCTTTTTCCTTAAATAAAAAATAAAACATTCCGATATCAACAGTTTATAAAAATAACAGCTGCAAAACTCTGCTAAAATCACAACTTAAAATCAAGTCCAATCAGCAAGATTCAAATCTTAAAAAAAAAAAAAAAAAAAAAAAAAAGAGATGAACCAGAAATAAAACCCTCTTTCTGCAGAGAATTGCCAAGCAAAACCTCACATGCTGTCCTACAAGCCTCTCTCCTAACAGCACCTCCCAGAAAATCCATTCAGTTTCTTCAAGCTGAAGACCTCAAGAAAACAGAGGTCTAAAGAGATCAGTCCTTCCCAGCAGTCACCTACACAACTGCAGGTGTGGATGCTGGTGCAGTTTTTCCATCAACTCTTCCTCTGTAGGTTCTTCCAAAACATCTCTACAAGAAAAAGCATGAGTTGTTAGGGGCAGCAAAGGGAACTTCTCAGCATTTGTTTTTGCAATGCACATACTGAGATGTAACATGGGCTTGTTTCAAAAATGAAACAAGGAATTAAAGTTACAATAAGTTGATGCTCCCTAAAGATGCATCTACTTGCAAGTGATCCATCCTTTACAGATGTGTCATGGAAACCAGCAGCTGTTTTCCCATAAGAAGCAGGGAAGCAATTTCCTGCACATAGTACAATACAACTGAAGGTCAGTAGATGTGTTTTCCTGAAGAAACTCCCAGATGAGAACATGTTCCCAATGCTACTATTGAATATCCAATGTGCACCAGAAGTTCCACTTGTGCATGATCATCAAGTATCAACTCACCACCCACAATTTCCTAGTAAGCAATGTGCATCATTTTGCTCATCGTCTCTTTTCTTCTCCCTCCCAGCAAAGTTTCCCCCTCACCAATACCTCTTCTCCCAACACGCTATGGACAAAAAAAGCATATGAAGGTTAGGTGACCAAGTCTGTTTAAGCCACGCCTAACTAAAGTACTTACTGAACTTTTTCAAACTAACAGATGAAACAGTTTGCTTCAGAGGGAGGAAATAGAAAGTAAGCCTTTTACCCTCCTGCAGCCAGCCCACGTTCTTTAAAGAGATGAATGTCAAACACTAGATTGTTTAGCAAGCCCACTTCAACTCACCTGAACATTAGATCAACTGTTCTCTGGTATTCAATATCTGAAAGAGGCTCTCGATGACAGCGACGGTCCCACTTGTGAATAAAGTTCTGAAGTGTAAAAGGAATAGGGGGGGGAAAAATAAAAAATAAAGGCTACTTCAGATGACATCAGAAAAGAGGCTCTATCAGGTCAGTATGTTTGTGGATAAGGTCTGGGACAGGGTGAAGTTTGACTTTAAACACAGAGTGTCAGAGCAGTGATTTATTCAGGCATATTTTTTGGCTGCTTTAATAAAGCCTGTTGTTCAAGAACGAGATCACTTTCTCATCACACACCGGAAGAACAGTAGAGCAAAGACAGCCCTGCTGCCTTCTACTCCTAGTAAGGACTGCCTCCCCAAGATAACTGTGTGAACTACCCACATGAGTTCACCTGTTCGGAATTTTTAACTCTTATAAAAACTCAGCCATATATAAACATACTCATAAGTCCAGACATCACAACTTGAACTCAGCTTCTGGCTTTGTCATGTTCCCTTATCTATTTTGAACTTCGCTAATGAATCAACACCTAGGGAGTAGACAGACAGCTCAGGCAAAAAAAGGGAGAAAACCAGTGGCATCCTACTCTCCTGCTACAGAATGCTGCATCTTGGTTATTACAGCAAACTTAGGTCACAGCCCTGTTGAAGCAAGCAGGTAGAAGACTTCATGGGGTTAGCCTCCAGCTAGAACTGAAAGTCTTTTCTGAAACACTCATGGGCAAGACTGAGGCTCCACATGAGACTAATACCTAAAGTTTCTGCCTAAATATTTGCCACTCTGCCTGGAGTAGTAAATTTTAGTTCTCAAAGCAGACAAAGCGAGCATTTCCAAAAGAAATGTGCGTAGGTTTTAAGGTGGGGTGAAGTGCCCTCTACAGGTACTGAGTTTCTTCCATTACTTATAGGAGAAGTCTACAAGGATTAACCTGGAGTAAATGGCTACAATTAACATTCCCTTCATCATCAAAAATCCGAAAAGGTATTTGGATTTGCAGAGAAACTAGTAGAACTACATGTTCTTCGTGGCACCTACATCTCCACAGCTTCTTTAAAATACTCTAGAGGGTGATCTCTGGAAAATAAGTAATCAGTTCTACTCTTCCAAGTGTGGAAATAAAGGTAAAAATCCAAACTGGGGTGGGAAAAACACATGGCAACTAAACAAAATACAGATATAATTTTTAAAGCACTAACTTCATTTGCTGACAAATCAAAACACAAGAAACCTGCAGCTTCAATAGCTAATGCTGAAGTGAAATGCTAATGTACAAGAGATAACCAATTTTTCATATTTAAAATATTTTCCATCTTTATAGAAAGTGAGTTATAATGACATATGTACACACCCAATGAAATGCAACCAGATTTGTGACAAAGCTGCAAACAAAGCACACAGTTTTCAGGAAAAAGAAAACGCTTCCTCAACGTCTCTGGGGAAGGGCAGCAAGGAGGAAGATCAAGGAAGCACATGCATTTCCCAAAAAGTTGTCTGGGTTCTTTTCATTCCC